CTAACCTCTGGACATCGCCCGCCCGCTAACCTCTCGACGAGCCAGCCTGCAGTGACCTATACTTGCCATTATGGGCCCAGCAAAGGGCAGCTGGTCGTCTTGTCGTTACCCCTCGACTCCTGGCAGACTGTCATGGAGACAGTGCGGATGATCCAGGCTGAACAGTAACAGACAGCTACTGTGTTAGGCATTTGCATCCTCCCAAGGACTCCACTTTGGGCTCAGCAGCTGGTAATATTAGTCTTTGGTGTGACTGCAGAAGTCTAACCCCTTCAGGCTGTACATGCCCCACTGGCCATGGCTTATAAATCAGCACAGCTGCTGGCCTACTACTGCACACAGTATTACATATAAACTTAATCTTCCGAGTGACATCAGGCTCCGCCTGCTTCTTTCAGTGTAGGTCATTTTAGAAGCTACATTTGAGTGATTCACCAGCATATGCTGACAGAGTAGGTCTGCCACAAGGTTGGGGTTGAGCTCTCTTTATCCTTAATCTCTTGTTAAGGATAATCGGTTGACCCTACCGGTGCACATGTCCCAGGTTACATCAATTCCATATCCCAGGTTACACCAATTGCCGCTTTCCATCTAAATCTTACACTATCATTGCCATCTCATCTCTCGTTCCTCTTTGATCACATGATCCGGCTTTCCTCCCTCTGTACTGCCTCCTGCAGGCCCTCTTTGTATTGTGTGGCCTGGCGACAGGCTGCTACTTCTGCTGCTGCCTCTGCTGCTGCTGTAACTGCTGCTGTGGGAAATGCAAGCCGCGTCCACCAGAGGGCCAGGATCAGGAGTTCTACGTGTCGCCCGAAGACCTAGAGGCCGAGCTCCAGTCTGACGAGAAGGGTGAGTCGTCAGATGTGTGCACATGCTCCAGGGAGTTTATCTAACCCAGCTTTTAACTTTGAGGCTCTGCGTTTATCTCAGACTCCTCAGCCCCCATCACGATGCAGCCCGCGTCTGCGACCGAGACGACCCAGCTGAACACCGACATCCACTACTCTAGCTACCACACTGACACTGGCTTCAACTAGGCCCCTGCACCCCCCCCCCACCCCCCAGCCCCAGAAAAGCCAGGCCAGAGGGGTGCAGGCGGGGTGAATCTGAAGAGGTCATTTGCAGCGCAGCAGAATGGGGCAGAGCAGCCTGACGGGCCTGGCCCCCCCCTCGGGCCGGGCAGTGGGGAAGCTGCTCTTTTTGAAAGCAGACGGACGTTCGGTTTTGTCAGTGTGTGTGTTTGTGTTTTTGGAGTTCATGGTCCATTTCAGATCTGCTCTTTGTTCTGTTTCATACATGTGCTTAATATTTCTTGGGTAGGTTCTCTGGTTGTGTGCGTGTGCCTCGGTCCCGGTTCCAGCATGTCCCCTAGGCCCTGTGTCCCCTTGTCCCCTCCTGTCCCCCGCTGCGGTGCTGCCAGCCTCACGGTCACCCACAGGCCGACGCTCATGTGCACGAGACTCGGACCCCTGCATGCCTGTGCCCTCCTCCGTGTCTGAGCTCGACGTGTGATGGAAGCAGCCGGGGGGGATGGGGCCAGACTGACCAGACTGACGGGCCAGACCTGCCCTGTGACACCCCCCAGAGGTAACCAGCCCCCTGCTGGTGCGGGACCACCTCGGCTGCGCTGTCTCATGTTGGCCATCGTGTTCGACAGGATGTTTCTTCTGCTCTGTGCCATGCATGTGGCTCTGTGGTGCCCCCTTGTGACTGTCCTGTGTCGGCCCAGGTAACGGCGCCATGCTCTTCTCATGTTGGGCTGGCTTAGGCTGTGATTCTGATCTCCAGTACCTGCCTGTCCCCTTTCTGCAGCTTTTCCCCCTTTTGAGAGATGGGGCCCGGGGGTATTAGGCGTTTGCTTGCCCATAGGCACCCCCCCCCCATTCATAAGTGTGTGAGGACAGTATAATGGAATGGTCCACAGTGGGATGGAGTTGCTCCCGTTTTCAGTGGCGTCGTGAGGATTTTGTGGAGATGGCGTTGCTGAGGGGGGGTGCTGAGTGCTCCGCTGCCCCTTCACACAGCAGCTTAATCCTCAAGATCTGCTTGCTGGTTCCCATTTCCCCGTGGCTTCAGTGTAACGTCAGGTCTCCTCCCCCCCCGGCTTCTCACATGGTCTCTCCCTAACTTCCTGCTATAGTTCTGTAGCAACCGATTGAAACTCCGTCTAAACTCCGCCATTTTTCTTTTTGGGTGTTATGTTGGGGGTTGGGGGGGTCGTGCTTTACATTCCTACCAGCTCGGTGTCCCTCCCATGCCAAGTGGATCCTCAGTGAATATCCCAGCTTGGGTCTTATGTGTTAATTTCCACCCCTGGTCACTCTCTGCAACCGCTGATGGTGTTAGCTGCAGCTGTAAACGTCTCCCTATGCAGACGGTCCCATTAGGGGTTGCTCCTGCTCCATGTTTCCCCCCCAACTGAATTTCCTGCGGGTTGATCTCCTGGAAGACTCGGGTGCTTTATGGTACAAGCTGATCCCACAAAGCGCTCATTCCGGGTTGTTGTTGGCAGTGGATTGCCCGGCGCCTCCCAGCTGGTCCCGTCTCCACAGGGCCTCCCTAACAGTGCTTCTCTTCATTTTGTATTTTTGGGTCTTTCTCTGGTTTAATCTGTGCTTATTCTGTGCTTCTTTCCGGACGGGCTACAGGACGTGTTGAAATTTGAGTGTCCTTTTGAGCTTCTAATGGGCAGATTTATCTCTGAAGAATATACCCTCAGCTCAGCGCCAGATGTTATGTAGGTGTAAAAAAAAAAAAAACTGCCTCGTTCTTTTCTCTCACCTTACAAACCTCAGGATGAACCCTGGTGTCGTCGTCCCCCACACCCTCATAATCGGCTCTAATTTGTCCTTGAACAACTATTTACATTTTGTTGGCACCGATGAGTTAAAATGTTTGACAATTGCATAAAGGCCACCATATAGGAAAGACTGGAAGGACTTTAAAAAAAACTACTGTGAAAAATGGCTCATTAAAAAGAAGGTTCCTAACATTTATCCCAAAGCATCTAACAAATAACTTTGTTTTGTAAGAAGCACAGGTTGGCTGGGAGATGGGATTTTTTTAATCGCAAGATATCTTCAGCTGTATGTTTTCCCGTTTTTGCTTCCACATGCTCTGTGTGCATTGAGCAGGAGATGTGGCTGGGCTCATGCAGGTGAAATTTAAACTGCTTCTGTCTCCTGTTTAGCAGAAAACTTCATATTCAGTAACTGCATCATTTTCCTTCTGCAAGATCCTGTAATTCTCCTGCATCTTTGTATATATTTCTGTGTATATAGCACTATCCTGTTAGCCTGCATTACACTCGTGTAACCAGATCAGAGAGTAATGTGATTTTCTTTGCTGATGTAAACTGGGCCTGTAACAATATTCACTGTTTGTCACGTGCCAGGAAAAAAAAAGACTCAAGTGTTCAGTTCACGTCTAATCTCTGCCAACAAAGAAGAGCAGCCTGTAGGAGCATTGCTAGTTGAATGGTTCACTGCAGTTTAATATTTTGTTTGCACGTGGTAGCACAGAAATGATCATGGTCTCGTGGTATAATGTACATGCCACAGCTAAGCTGGGTCTCGCATCATCAGCTCCCACAGTGGGTGACAGTGATCAGATGTATAACCAAGGCACACACACCAGGGAAATAGCTGGTGTGAAAACAACCAACGCTTTGTGTCGTCTTGTTTTTAGTGCCAATGTCAATGTGGGTAACAAGACTTGAGACAATCCCCAAGGATTTGCCATTAAGTGCAAACTGTCAAGAGATAGACGGTACATGTTTCAGACTGTTAAGCATCAGAGACTGGCAGATTTATTTTAAGAATCTTTAAACCGAAAATAGTGTCATAGTAATATGTGTTGTATTTATTTTTCAATGTTTTTAATAAAGCATAGTTTTTAATGGTATGTAATTTAGTTGTGACTATTAAACTGTGTGTAACACAACTTAATGGTTGAACTCTGTACATACACTTAAATATAACTAAAGTAATAGTTTTGTTTTAGCATGGTCACATCAGACAGGAAAGAAAAATGTTGGTAATTTATTGAATTTGCTGTTGTAAAATAAATGTTTTGGAACATTTTTTGTGGTGCCTTTTGGTATGTGTGTGTCATTTTCCCAACTTTGAGTCTTTTACTGAGACAATTCAGTGTATTAATTATCAAAATGGGAATGAAATACACAATTTTTCCTGTATCCGACCAACGCATTATTCATTTATTTTTCCTTTTTTTATTCTTTATAAACAAGTGAGGATACATACTACACAGTGGGGGGTGGGTATACAGTGACTGTGGGATAATGAATTACTGTTGCAGTGATGACTCTGTAAAAGAAAATACAGTGAAAAAGGCCAGCGAGTCACAGGCGTGCTATACAGTAATGACTCTTCTATAAAACAAAATACAGTGTTTACTGAGAACAAAGCCAGCAAAAGGACATGTAACGAAACAGCAAGGAACTTTTGTCAATTACTGCCAACCAATTTGTAACCTTTCATCTCACCTTCTTTATTTTAATCAGAGACACTGAAATAATCTACATTAGTTACCCCAGTATTTCAGTGATTCACATGTGCTTGATCCACCCATGATTATAGTATATACTGGGGGGAACACGTCCCCCTAATAATCAGATGTGCTACCCAGTATATATTATAATTACAGCTTTGGTTCCTCCCAATGTTGACCTCATGGCTACAGCCTTATGGTTGGTGAACTAGAAAGTTCTTCTAGAAAATCTACATATACTTCCTATGGAAGCTTCTGAGTTTGAGTTAGGATGTCCAGGCCCCTACTTGCCTACAGCTTGAAGGAGTTTTTTATTGTTGCGAGCTTTCTGAGCCATCTTCTCAGATCTAGATGTTTGAAGAAATTCTCTGAGAAGATGAAAGGTCAGATCGAGAGAGTTTGGTTTGTCCATCGTGACCAACCTCTTCAGCCGCTCCTCGTCCACTTCGGTTCGCTCTGAACACTTAAGGTCCCCAGTGACAGAACACCGCTGTCTGGATCTGGCCTGTGTTTGCAGCCTCCTGCTGCTGGTTCCTTCGGGAAGGGTTGACCTGTGCAGATTTCCAAGCACAGCCTCATTCTCTGTGTGGAGAACTGGGCTTTGCTGATGCCCAAACCACGGCTCACAGTTTGCAAACAGCCTTCTGTCAAATTCTGGCTGAATGTCAACTGGATGACTGTTGCTCAACCATAGACATGCCTGGAGGAGCGAGGTGGAAAACAGGATGTGGAATTTGCTCATGACTGTTACCCTGTGACTCCACACCTAGAGCAAAGACAGATAGTACATTAGACAGAAGGTTCTGGTTGCTCAGTTTCATCAGAATACACCCCTGTCACTGTGCCTCAAGTGTCAAGTGATTCGTAGTATGAGAATAATTGGCACAACGATGAAAACCAAAATTTATTGACTTTAGTTTAAATTTCACCACTAATCACTTTAACATGCAATGTAGACTTTTTGCACAATCATGAAAAACAAAGAACCACAATGACCAAGAATTCACTTACGATGCCACTGTGCTGCAGCTGAAGACTGTGTTTGCAGGAGGGACAGTGCCGAGCTGTGCTGTGGTTCTCAGCCATCGTGTTTTATAGTGAGACGCACGTCCTGCTTCTTTGGGCAGAGTGATGGAGTGGACACGCTTGTTACCGTCTCACGTGACCTACCAGCTTTATCTAAGAGCAGCCCACTCTTCAGATCAGCGAATCGAACCATGTTTTTCATCTAAGAGGGAAGATGGGATTTCTGAATCACTAGGCTGAGAACATCTTCATTAAAATGGGAAACATCTGGACAGTCAGATGTGAGTGGGATTTCTTCAATGCAAATATAAAATTAGAATAAAAGTACAATCTGAGATGCTCAGCTTTGGATCATGGGCCATATTCCAGTCTCCTTTTAGTTATATCTGACTCAAAGCTGTCATCACACTGTATATTTTAACTAGGAAGCATTTTAGGTAAGACACCACTTGATGTTGCATGAGGTGATACTGTGCACACACCCAGCACACTGCAAGTCCTGCTCTAGGGGCAGCGATGCACAGAATCGGATCACAGATACACAAACCACCAGCTTTATATTCTTCCAGTAAGAGACAGAAGAAGCTAAAGGCCAAATGGGAAGTTGTAGAGAAATGTCTACAACAGGGCTGCCCAACGCCAGTCCTGGAGGGCCGGAGCCCTGCACATTTTTGGGTTTCCCCTCGTTTAACACACCTGATTCAACTCCTTGTGCTAATTACCACACAGCTCTTGAGCTGAATCATTTATGGTAGAACAGGGAAAGAACTAAGCTACACAGGGCTCCGGCCCTCCAGGACTGGAGTTGGGAACCCTGGTCTACAACAACGGTGGCCAACAGAGGCCCCCTAAAATAGGTCTAAGGGGCATGAAGGTTTTTGGTATAACCTTTAGTTATGTAATTAGGGAACTGCATGGTGATTGGCAGGAGCGTTGCTAAAGATTTTGGGCCCCATAAAAGCATATCATATTGGGTCCCCCAGTCCAGACCAATCCAGTTATTTTCCAAATTTTTTAGAGCCCTTTGTCACTCTGGCGCCCTTGGAATCATCCTAACTGACCCCAGGTGATTGGCCACCCCTGGTCTATAAATATTTAGACCAGGGCTATTCAAATCACGGACCTCAAGGGTCAAGCACTGCTGATTTCCCAGCATTCCTTTACCTGTGAACCAGATGTGAAGCCTCAGTGGCCAGTCAGTAATTATTAAATTAGGTACCTGGGAGAACTGAAAACAAGGCCTGGATTTGGAATCGTGGGCCAGATTTGAAGAGCCCTGATGCAGACAGAGGTGCATAATTCAGGTCCAGAAAGGAAAAATCCAGACCAAGATATTATTTCACCAGCTGAGTATTCTGTGACTGTGACTCTATATAGAGTTGAGTATATACTGTAGAGTTACAGTCACAGAGCACTCAGCTGGTTGGTTGAAACAAAGTCTTGGTCTGGATTTTTCCTTTCTGGACCTGAGCCACCCACCTGTAGAAGCCTTTACTTCTTGTTTACAATTCAAGTTAATAATACATTAGGTTCAGGTTTATTTAAAATTGCTATCAATCTAAATCATATTATCAGCTTGGTGTCTTTTGTTAGACACCCCTGAGATGTGCTGTCCGATCCATTGGGGAGGTATGTTTGGAGTTGTTTTCCCAACGGAGAGTTAATTACAACAAGCACAGCCATTAGGGTCCATGCTTTGTGCCTCCCCTGCTACCTCAGGCACCGCCTCACCAGACGCTCCGTTTGATTGATAGCTGTGGTGTGTACAGTGAACTATAAATGCAACTGGAATCGTTGTTTTTAACAGAAGAGGACCAGCCTGCCAAATGGCATCAAGGGAATCTCATAAAGTACAAGAAGAATCCAGAAAAGACTCATGGAGGCGGCAGTGTGCCTCTTTTCCTTATAGTCCATGAGGGTCACGTTCCTTAGTGGTTCACACAGTGGTTTATGTCGTCATATTATTGAGAAAACAAACTGCTCCACCCAGATAACCATTGTCTGTCCCAAATGCATTTTCATTGCCTCAAGGCCTGTTATATTTCCTTTATTTGTTATTTTACATTTGCTTAGTAGGCACTCTCAACAATGAAACTAGGCTAAAGGCCAAATACAAAGAAAGCAAAGGTTTCCACAGTCATGTGACCAGGGTGTGAAGTATGTCAATTACACCCCAGTGTGCTTTAGGTGTCTCTGATAAATGATATGGATTCACTGTGTCTTGGAAAATGATAAAGTTTGCAGAATCTGAATCTGCCACTGTGGGATATTTAGCAAGTTCTTTAGAAAACATTATTTCGGCCATCCTCTACAGCCGCTTTTCCTGCACAGGGCTGCAGTGAGTGCACCTTACTGCATGTCTCTTACTAAAACCTACAGTCCTGGAGGTATGATGGAACAGTGCCTCTCCCAGCACCCGCAAGTTGCCCTTATTGCGAATTTGTGCCTATAGCTCCATGCAGGTGCTGTGACGAACTGGGCTTGATCGAGTTATCCTGCAGCCTGTTCTCCAGAACGTGCTCTGGATTATAGTAAACTCAATTAGTTCAATTATTGTTCAAAGTGAATTAAATGTCCTGTTTATATCCCGTCTTGATAGAATTCTGAACCAAAAGCTGAATTGTAATCAATTAATTATAATAATAATAAGTATTGTTATACTCAGTGCATAAAATCTGACCAAAAATTAGGTTAACCTCATATAATTTCCCCAAACATTTAAACGTAAAAATATAACGCACATAACCGAAAATGGCTAATTATAGTTAGGAAAAGGAGACGGAGTGCCACTCAGGATGGTAATGGTGATACGCCGTTTAACGTGCTGTCTCTATTATCTCAGGATTAAAGTAACTTCTGCAATAATAATAATAATAATAATAATAATAATAATAATAATAATAATATGATGATGATGATGATGATGATGATGATGATGATGATGGACGTGGACAGGCTCCGCTACGTCACCGCCCGCGCCGGAAGGACGCCGCCCCGTAGAGCAGCGCGCACCGATCCTAGTGAGGTGACGGAGCCCCTGGCAGTGGACAGCTTGTTGTTACGGTAAGGCGACGCTTTTACTGTCAATTACTTGTTGTTGGTCATTAATGAGAAGTAATAAGTGCATTATACCCTCTGCTTCCAGCAGGTATTAAAGGAGCGTCGACATTCACACACCTGCCGTCATGGATTCCGCAGGGCAAGGTAAACACGGTCTCCTTGCAGCGGCACACTCCGTGTTTTTCTTAATTCCTTTTTGCCTTTTAAGCTAAAAACGCGCCCGGTGCTGCCGTCCTGTTCCCGCTGTTTGCTTCCTGACATGTTGGTGCTTATCTGGATAGCGCGGCCCCGTTGGACTTCTGTCCGGTTGCTTGTCTCCCGGCTCCGCGCCTTGTTTTGGGAGATATGCTTGTATGTTTATGGGATAGAGGCCGCCGCCTTTCTGCGGGTTTCATTTCGACCGATGATGTGTCGCCTTTGCTCTCTGTAGGAATCAGTGCCGAATGGGTCATGTGTCCAGTATGATACATTTTATATGTGTGCATATATAGCTCTGTGTGACACGGTAGTGGCTCAGCCTCCGGTTTGAGGAAATGACCGCGATGGCGGCTGAAGGAAAGGTGGAGCCCGTCTGTACATGGTGAGTCATGCTTGCCTCCCTCCCTTTTACTCTCACTCTCTGCTCCAGACATCAACCTGAACTCTCCCAACAAGGGCCCGCTTGCAGATGTTGCACCGGAGCTGCCTGAGGAGGGCGCTGTCAATACAGCTGAGTGCAGCTTGCCCCCAGGCCTTAGTGAGGAGGAGCAGGAGGAGCTGAAGTTGGAGCTCAGCAAGGTACCGTCCCACATTGCAGGGCCCCCATTCATATTCACCTCCAACAAACCCCCCCCATATAGATTTTTCCGGAGCCTCCCTGTCACTGTGCCTCACGCTCCTGCAGGTGGAGGATGAGATCCAGACCCTGCGGCAGGTGCTGTGTGCCAAGGAGCGGCACGCAGGGGAGCTGAAAAGGAGGCTAGGCCTCACGCCATTGGAGGAGCTGCGGCAGAACTTGAACCGCGGCTGGCAGGACATGCAGACATCCACCGCGTGAGGAGGGGAGGGGAGAGGGGTGAAATGCACAAGATCTGTGCAAAACGACCGTTTAACTACAGATTTAAAAAGCAAGTCAGGGAACAAAGGATCATTCACCGGTGTCCATCTCTGATGTGAAGGGTGTCTGACTGTAAAAGACAGCTGCAGGATGTCTGAGCCAGTGTGTCTGTATTCACGGCCTCTGCTGGTCCACTTGGCTTCTGGGGTACAGATGGTGAAAGCAGGGCTCCTAAGGCTTTCTCGCAGCTTTTAAGAGTTTAAGAAGAATCTGGAAAAAGCTGGACTTACCTGGTGCCTGTGTGTCATGCCCCTTTGCAGCTATGTGAGGACCACGGAGAAGCTAGGAGAGTGGAACGAGAAGATGACCACCTCTGACCTGTGAGTGCCTTTGCTCCTCACCCACAGCCTGTCTCCCGAGTGATCGTGGTTCCCTGTCCATTTTGGTAGTCGCCATGTTCATTTTTTCCACCCTGACCCTGTGCTCCAGCCTGTCGCTGAGTGATCACGGTGCCATGTTGGCTTTTGTGGTCGCCTGTTCGTTATTCATGCCCTGACCATGTGCTGCAGCCTGCTACGAAGCCAGCTAGCTCAGTGGGCTCAGCCAGCTGTCAGTCACTCTGCCCTTTTCTGGCCTTGGGCCCCTGAAATGCTCTGTCCCTTATCAGGATTGCTAATCATGCCGCTTCACCATAGTCTTGATAGGGGTCGTGTGTTACCCTGTCTTATGGATTAGAGTGGTTATATTTATGAGAAGATTATTTTTCCTGTCTGCTGTTGAAGTCAGAATATTACGATGCAGTATTTAGCCAGGAAAGTGTCATAGGTTTAAGTGCAGAATGAAATTTGGCTGCATTAGTATATATTTCAGTGCAAAGTGACACCAGCTTTACAGCCTGCAGCTCCCGCTTGTCCTACCAGTGAGCCTGCCCCAGCAAATGCCCTGGGTATACGCCATCTGGCAGCTAAGCCAGCCCCCGATTGGCTGCTGGGGAAGGTGGAATGTGGGTGGGGTCTGAGTGTTCCTGAGCCGTCACCTGGCATTTAATTTTAAATGACCGTAAACACTCACCGGTTTTGGCATTTCATACAGTTTTGTACCTCTGGTAGAGCACAGTATTTAGTTTCTGGACAGAAATGAAGGTTGTTAAAATATGGTTTTAGAAATCTGTGTCATTTAGTTTTGCTCGTCAGGTTTTGCTGCATTCAGCTCCTCAGCTCTGCCCTGGTAGAGTTTTGTGTCCAGAGTGGTTTCCTGTGGTTAAGCCCCTGTACCATCTTCACGTTGTCAGAAGACCTCTTGTTTCTTTTGAGTCTCTTTAGAAATGATCTGTTTTGATTAGTCCTGCTGAAGGCTCTTCACCAGGTAGCTGCGCTCAGGGTGCCTGGCACTGTCCCTAGTGTGCTGTTCATTGCGGCTTTTCAGCTTGTGGCTGCCAGGTACCGCTGCTCTGCAGGCTACTTCACGAAGCAAGATTTCTTGCTTATCCAGATAACTTGTCAGATTTATGGTAGTCTGGGCTAAATGGACATTATCTTCATCCAGCCCAGACTATCCAACAAGTTTCGGCTAAGCAAGAAATCTTGCTTTGTCTGTCAGCGTCAACAGTTCAGCAGAACCGTAGCCCATCGCAGGTGATCTGCTTGTGACGTCTCTAGTTCCCAACTCTGGTCATTTCATCTCTGTTTACATGGGCTTCTGTCCAGTGATGCCCAGGATTTGGCATCCAGAATGAACCTTTATAGTTACAGCTTCCAAATTCAATAAATTCCCTCCTTGTCAAGCAGACTACTAGGGCTTATTTTGAAGTAGAAAATATTTTGAATTCCAGTTGTATTTGTGCATTGTCAGGTTTTCCCACTGATTCCTGGCTGGTGTGCAGTGATTTGTAAATGAGGAGATCGTCTTACCTGTGAAAGCGGCTGTACAGAGCAGCTGAGTATCTTCACATCCCGCGGCTGCCTTTCCACGACACGCGAGATGGCTGCTTTCATTGTTGCTCAAGCTTCCGTTTTGGATTGTAGCGCCATGGCTACACGCCTACAGCCTGCCTGCCCCTCCCTTAGCTTTTGTGGCAGCAGTTTGCCGGTGTTTTGATTAAGGACTTCTCAGTAACATTCAGCTCAAGGTCCCTGAATGATCATGGGTGCGGTGCTGCAGTCAAAAGCCTGATTAGGACCTGGCGTTCCTCCCCTGCCGCGTGTCGCCTCTCTGATTGCCCTCTTGTTGCAGTGAGGCCTATGGAGGGCTAAGAGTGCCAAAATTAAATAAATAAATACACCAATAATTAATTAATTAAATGTGCCATGAATTGTTTAAAATGGGAAATAAAAATATCGTTAATTAAATGTGCCATGAATTATTATCTACTATTAGAAATAAAATCATTATTAATTAATTACATGTGTCATTTACAATTATTTGACTATTTATTTAATTTTGGCACTTTCACCACATCATGAATTAATTTTATGTGTCAGTGTGACCCATCAAAGTCAGTAGGCGGGACAAACAATGATCTATCTGGATCTTGTGCAGCCGATTGTTTTGGTCTGAAGCTGTGTCATTTCCAACATGGCGCTACCAATCATGGACCAGGCCCAATACTGCGCATGTATTCACATTTTGCGGCAGACCGTGATTCAGGGCATGGATGTCGTGTATCATCATTCATTGGTCACGTATTGTGAGATGGGTCATTGATGTTTATATTTATAGTTCAGCCGTCACTTTATTGTGGTATTTAAACCATATTGCTTTGCCGATTGTAATATTTGCATCTGTGTGCGCATTGCTTTTAGTGCCTGACAGTAATCTTACACTTTCCCAATTGGTATTGCTGAATAGATGCCTTTTCTTTAGAAATCGTAATAAAATTGGGGTGTATATTAATCTCGTGTACCCATATTGCTTGTCAAGGGGCTGTGATATATGTACAGCATTTTCTAAAAAAAAAAAAAGTCACTCCAAAATAATAGTTAAGAACTTTTATTTGCAGAACATAAACAATGTTTAAGTTGTGCAGTTTGGCCCAAGATAAAACAATCGGTCGTCTGTCAGAAACAAATATAATTTGCTTCATTTAGCACTACAAGACACAGCTGCCGTAACTGACACGAGTGTGTGGTAATTACACTGATACAATTAAGAAAAGAAATGACTAAGGAGAAAAAAGGAGGCTTAGTTTAAGAAACTTGACAGCACATCGAACTGGGAGTAGTACATAATGGTAACATTAAATTAATGTCACCTTTGATTAAAATTGATGGCCATACCCTGTATTTTACGTCGCTCCTTCTGAAGCACATTAGGTATTAAAGGCCTATGCGAAATAAAATCTTTTAAAGTCGAAGGACTCCATCATTATCCGGTTAATTCTCTTTCCTCTCGCTGTCGACATTATCATAAAAAATCAACAGACGATGAAATGTGACGCGATGCCATAAAAATAGCACGCTTCTTCCAGAAGTCGCAAGCGTGCGCATGCGTAGTAGCGGAAGTTACATTTTCGGTAGGTGTAACATTTTCGGTACTGACACCCCTACCTATATCGCTCAATTAAGGCCGTTGCGAAATTCTTCTTCTTCTTGATTATTATAGGTAGCAATGTGAAAACAAATACTGCCATCTATTGTCTCGGAGTATGTTGACGGGTCCCGTACCGATTCATTATCTGGGATCTATTTGTTTTGACTTGCTGTACAGGGTAACCAATCAGATGTTACTCTCGGTTGACGACCCGCAGTGACAGATAAAATTAATTCATGATGTGGTGATAGTGCCAAAATTAAATAAATAGTGAAATAATTGTAAATGACACATGTAATTAATTAATAATGGTTTTATTTCTAATGGTAGATAATAATTCATGGCACATTTAATTAACGATATTTTTATTTCCCATTTTAAACAATTCATGGCACATTTAATTAATAAATTATTGGTGTATTTATTTATTTAATTTTGGCACTCTTAGCCCTCCATAGAGGCCTTGCACAGTCAGTGATATCTTTTCCTCTCTGGTTAGCTTTGAAGCAGCAGCCAGCATGTTCACGGGTAGGGTCAACCGATTATCAGCCTGGTCGATTATTGGATTCGATATTCAACATTTTTATGCTTATTGGAATAGCTTTTTTTCTTTCTGATTGGTGATAAATTAATTTAAAAATGATCTACTTGGGCTCTGATGCAGCCATCTCTCTGTAGTCACCACTGCACAAACAATGTTCTGCACACAGCACTATCTAAGACTATTTCTCATGACTTGTACCCAATCAACACTTAAAGCTAATGTGGAACACACAGGTATATAGGAATGTATGTGAAGTCTGGAGCAGCTCTGGTGAGTGAGCAGAACTGTGTTTCTAAGGTATTGCACAAGTTGCAGCAGTTATTACAAAAGTTGCAATCAACGTCATAATCCCCCACACTGAAGTTGCAAAAGCAATCATTTTCTATTTATGTGATGACAAGCATGCCCAGTTTCCCAGTTGGTGGAAATGCCTGAATAATGCACTTTGTTGTAGTGGTATGGAGTTAACTATAACAAAAAATTAGTTTATGTAAACATAACGGTATGTAACGTTAGTGGCAGTGCAAATGGAACTTATTTTAGCTACCATATTGAGAATGTGAGATTACTCACCTGTAGGAGTTGGTGGTTTTATGTTACAGGTCTCTGATTGTCATGACAAAAGCTAATGTTGAGTCTCATTGGGCTAACTTGAGTGCGATTGCGAACATCACCAAGTTCCTTAGCGGGTCTGTAATTTAGCCAGCTGTCTAGCAATGAAAATTGCAAGTGAACGTGTCTTCATTGAAGAGACTGCAGTTTGAGAGTAACAGAAGCGGTCTCACTGGGGAGCACTTTGCTTTCTACACCACCATCTGCTGCTGCCCAACTGGGATTATGAGCCGAGTCTCGAATTCAAGTACAAATTTCAATTTTAGTGGTTTTATATATTTTTACTTTATTGACTTTATAAATCTTCAGAGAGATGCATTATTTGTTTATTTTTTTTCAGTTAACTTTATAGCAAATGCTGCTGAATGCTCCCTGCAAATTTAAAGACAATTTTGAAAAGTTCTCTCTTAAATGTATGTTTTTATTTTTAACGGCAAATGTGTATTGGTTACTGGTCGTCTTGGTTACTTAATTGCTATTTGTCCTGAGAAAACCCTATTGGTCGAGCCCTAGGGGCTGGGGCACTGCTCACGCCCCCCTCAGCTCTTCTTCCACGTAGGTCCACCGAGGGCCTGGTGTACCAAAAAGCCCACGGCTGTCAGCGACACGGGGGCCCTTAACCCTGAAGCGGGGGTGTAGAAAGGTGTTTGCTGTGTCATGTTTGGCCTCTGCTCGCGGATTTCCGCTGAACTTCCCCACTTGTGTACTGCAGATGTCCGTGTTGATTACTGATGGTTCATCCCATGTGATTATTTGCCTTTCTGATGAAGCTGTCATTACTATTACTAACGGACGTGTTCCTTGTCTCCGTTTTTGAGCAGCAGTGCTGTTCAGGCTGTCTGACATGTCAGTGCCCTGGGCAGAGCAGAGCTTCCCCCTCATCTTTCCTGCACTGAGCTGCCATTGTAATATTTATTGTAGCACATATTCTGACTTTTTACCTGTGCCTCTTTTTGACTGTAACTAGGCTTGCATGTATATTCACGTTTATTTAGAGGTGAGCTTGAGGTCAGAGCACAGGGTCAGCCAGCATCCAGCAGCTGGTATTAAGGGCCTTGCTCGAGGGCCCAACTGTGATATCGTTACTCTGCCAGGTATGGGAGTTGAACCCACAACCTTCCAGGAACAGAAACAGATCCCTACCCCACCAAACTACAGATATATTATTTATATTTTATAAATAAAATGCCTGTGCAGGTGTTACTGGTTTCTGATAATGCATATTTTCAGTTTAGCTAGTAGTTTCCTGTAGTCTCCTGTTCCTGCCCGGCTGCCTGCCTGTCCTTGTTCTCCTGGCCCCTGGATCCCATGGGCTGACGCTATAGCCCTTGGTGCTCTGGGAACAGCATGCGGCTTTGGCCCTCAGGCAGCTCTGAGTAGCAAGTCCTTTTGTATGGAACAAGTACAGCTGAGCATGCATCCCAGAAAGCAGCGCGCTTCTGTTTCACTTGCTCTCCATCCTGCTTGCCTCATCGTTTCTCTCCTCTGACCTGCAGGTACAAGAAAACTCAGGAAACCCTGTCGCAGGCCGGCCAGAAGACATCAGCTGCGCTCTCCAATATGGGCACAGCCATCAGTCGCAAGTTTGGAGACATGAGGTAGCGCTTCCTCTCGCCGCTTGTACTGGCTGCTTGTACAGCTCTCCTCTGTTGCCAAGTGGGCGGCCATGTTGATTACGTGCCATTTGTGAGGTTTTTAAAAATGTTTCTTGCACAGGCACGTTTTAAATCAGTGTTAAAGCGTGATACCATGAGATGTATCGCAAGGTGTGGTTGGGTGCGGTCAGGATGGGTTGGGTTTTGTGCCCTACAGCCCTGCCCTGTTCACCACATTCTGCCATACTCGCGTGATTAAAAGGCTATCTGCTTGTGGGAAATTACCAGTATTTAGAAATATTGAGTGAGTTGTGTTTAATTTAGCAACGAACAGGTTGTAATTGATCTGTAATTTTGGTGAACCTCTTCACTCGTCTTGTGATTTGCACGGTTGCTGACATACGAATGCTGTCACCTATAGTGCATGTAGACAGTGCACGGTCATCCTTAGGAACTATCGATATATCTTTGCAATGGTGGCGACTCCCTGCTGCCATCCTTCACATCTGACGAGTGGGGGTGTGTCAGTGCCACGCTGGGGTTACAACGACACCCTGTTACTCACCCTTTGATTCTCCTCATCCGGAAGAGTGAACTGTACACACCGATAGGATGGATTTGATTAATCGATCGGCATGTTTGATGTCAGTCATCATGTCACGGACAAAGAAGTGCTTATGCGCAGTTGTATGTTATAACCTTATACCCACCTACCAAGACACCATTATGCCACTGGTCGCTGCTAACCCCCTGCTGCTGTGGTACCCAGCCCCTGCTGAGCCCCGGCTCCACATGGGGGCGGCACATTTGCCTGGCCGTAGCGCTGTGAGCCCATCACCCATCTCCCTTTATACTCTGGCCATGTTTTGTTTTTGCTTACCTTCGTTTTTTTAATCTGTTTTTTATCGCTTCCTCTGGGTTAAATAGAGCTCTGCCTTTTTCACAATCACTTGGGTAAGACAAGAACCCTCATATTATGATGATTAGGATTATACTGTGTCATTTAGTTTAGCTGTTTTCTGTTAGGTGAAGGTTAATCTCTGTTTTGCTGTTAACCCTTTCTGCTGTAAAACGTGCCCTTTTGGGCTGTTTCAGCTCTGATCACATGACCTTCCACTCTGATACAGCCGTTTCACACCAAATGTGATACAAAAGAACCCAAATTTAAAAGTCAGCTGCAAATTTGACAGATCAAAATCTTTCACATCAAGCACGATGCAGAATTTTTGCAACTGATTGAGTTTCCCTACCGAAAGAAACTGACAAACTAGTGATGAGCCCTAGCAGCAGTGATGACACGTTCTAGTTTCTTTTGAGGAAACTAGTAAAAACAGAAAAAAAATAGAACTTAAATTTTACTTTGCCTGATTTTTTTTAATTGATAGTGTACAAATAGGTCTGTAAATCAAGCAGAAATAAAAAAAATTCCCCCCCCCCCCCCCCCCCCTTTTACTTGGTGTGAAGCGGCCTTTACTTTTGCTGTTGTGTGCCGTAGCTGTAGTGAAAAGTCCCCCATGTGCTTCGGTGTTCAGTGTCTGCCCATGGAGCTGCCTTCTGCCACTTTCTCCTGTGCTTGTGGCCTCGTCCTGAGCACCTTCGCTGCCTTAACCTCTGTTACCTTCTCTTTTTCCTTACTGCTCTCAAAGTGGCACCCACTCCATTCGCCACTCGATAAGTATGCCTGCGATGAGGTGAGCCGTCTGCCCGTTCTGACACGCTCTATGCATGCCATTATCCGGAACGTTCCTCCAGTTGTTTTAGCTTCCAGTCCCTCCCCCTCCCCAGGATGCATGCGAGTCCTCAGGAGAAACCTCACCCCATACAGTCGATCATTTGTTGTCGGCGCAGCTGAACCTTTTTTCATCGTTACCCTGCAGGAACTCGCCCACGTTCAGGTCCTTTGAAGACCGAATGGAGACCATGAAGGTAAGTTTGTGAGGAGAGTGACCTTCAGAAAACCCCCCCATGGACTCTGGATCGTGTCACTCTGTTCTTCGTATAGCACCTGACAAACACGTTCATGTCAGAGAGCACGATGCGCCGTAATGTGGCTGCAGCTGTACTGTGGTCCAGTTATTCATATTGTCACTTTGAGAGAGCTCACTATATCAGGAACCACATGTTTTTTCACTACTGGAGACTCCTTGTCCGTCCTGGATTTCCCTGACCTGACTGTTACTCCCACCCCTACAGCAAAAGGTGGTTGGAGGGGCCGTGAATGGTGATGGAGCCACTTCTCCCGCTGAGAAGGGGGACCCCCAGGACAGCTTCCCCTGATGACCCAGCCAGTGCTGCTGCCAGCGCCCACCCTCCCCAGCAACGTGGCCAGGAACCCGTGCCATCGCTGGAGTATCGACGCCCCTCGTCTGGAGACTCCCCCCACTCGCCATCCCACCCCACTATAGCCAGTCTGACCGCACTGTCCCCCCCCACCCGTGCACATACCCAAACACTGACAACAAGCTTCACGTTATCACTGGGCACTGCAAGCTGTGAACACATGACAGCTCTTTGTATTCTAAACTATTTTACACTGCTTGTCTCCACTTTTCTATACGGATATAAATAATGTTGCCAGCTGCTACCTTGGCGTGACTGGCAGGAGAAAACACTACCAAACGAAACGGCGTCCTGCATCCTGAAAGTAGCCAAAAGCCCACAGGAAACGGAATCGTGTCTATTTAATAGCTCAGTGCTCACTTTGCATTTTCCAGCATTCTCCTCAGGCCACTGACTCTACCGATCAGAATGTGAAACCATGCTGTATCCGGGTGAATGTGGGGTCCACAGCCAAATGTTGCCTTATATTTGTCAGGTTCAGTATTGAAAAAATAAATGTAAAGGGGGGGGGGCAAAGCAGCTTCTGAATAGTATAGATTTTCTTTTGGAGCAGAAACTTTTCGCCGTCATGGGTTTATTTTGCCTGTTTGTTTTTTTTATCCTTTTTTTCTTGAACAGATGGAGACGGTTACTCACTTGCGTTGTATTCTTTGTAGCTTGCTTGCCGTGCCATGCATCCACACCACCATTGTTGCTCATGCATCTTACGTGTCTGTGCTGTGTCAGTCGGGGAGGGGCGGGGGCTGTCCGTATATTCACAGAGACTTAAAAACTGTTGCGGTGTGTTAGGATTCCAGGTCAATTTCACTAAAGAGAAGCTCTCACTGTCAGTTAAGCATTTGATTGTTTTGCCGCATTTTCTGTTGCCTTCTTTTAAGTTAGCGACGGCTATTTACGGGGTGGTCCTGCGGAACTATAAGGATTTGTAGGTTGACATGACACAGCTTAAAGCCTGCTGTCAGTATATACTTCTTTCTTTATAGTACGCTGCCATCCCCAGAGGTCTGCCACATTTCATATAATGTTTACTAGATTGTGCCAGAACAATGGATACGATGCTTAAGGCGCATAATACACGGTGGTGGGTAAATATATAGTAATGCATTGAAACAGAACCTAATTTTGTGTTTTCCAATGCCAAGAAAGCAGATATGGCGGATTATTGAGTGCAACTAAGGGATAACATTTGCGTTTCGGATGGAATTTGTTAAATGGTTTGTTATATTTTGGCATATAAATAAAGTTTTCCTTTAGACGAATTTAGGTGTAGTGGTTCATTAAAACTGGATTTGCAACCGCTGCTTTCTGGTTTTTGTGTTTTTTTTTTCGGTATCAATTTACTTAAGTAGTCCTAATTAAACTTTGTAATATGTCTCCCTGGTGGTCTAGTGGTTAGGATTCGGCGCTCTCACCGCCGCGGCCCGGGTTCGATTCCCGGTCAGGGAAGTATGTTTTATCGCTATGTACAGGTTTGTTTGTGCACACGTTCTGGGACCTCTGTTTTCACTGTCTGCGTTCCGGCAGTCTTAACGCAAGATTTGCAATTTCAGTACCCCTACGAATAAATACAGTACATGACTGTGATTATTATTTTATATATAATATATATAAAAACACACACACAGTGTGCCTTGGATAGGTTCTAGCGATCATCCATCTAGCGATGGATGGAGACGTTTGTAACAGCCTCGTGTTAGCTGAAAATTTGCATCTGGTTTCTTAGTCATGTTAACCCTAATATTAAAGGGTGTTTTCACCTTCGCTAAGTAATTCGTAGAGGTTATCGGCTCTGTATTTGTTTGTTTGCCACGAACTCCCCCCGCCAACACCCACTCCCCGTCGTGCTACCAAATAAGCCTTTGTCTTCTTCAGAGATGCGGTCGCTTCGAGGCCGATCACGTGTCCTGAGGGCATGACGTCACCTCGAAATATATAAATACCCCCTGTCATTGTTCCTGTAGAAGGTTTGTCACGACTGAACAGTACGACGGTTGTCGAGGGTTTTGCCCAATTTTTTAATCACAAATGGGCCCCGTCGCCTAGCGTTTCCTCCTCTGAGCCTTGCCAACAGACACCTTGAGCTGCTTTTGGTGCTGTTTTAACATCGGCAGACGTCGAAAAGGTGAGTCTGACGGCTGGCAGGAGAACGTTGTTTACGTGTATGTACAGGGGATGGATATAAAATGGCGAACGGCGCAGAAACGTACACATCGGTCAAAAAATAGCAGATTTCGCTCGCCTACCTTCGTTTTTCGTGGTGTTATCCGTTTGGGGATGTGAGTTTTGTGCCATGTTCCCGGCGGGGTGCCTGTTGATTTGGACTGGCGATCCATTCTTAATTCCGCTGTATCCACGCCGTTTGCACAGCGCCTTGTGTAATCCGTTATTCGGAGCTACATTTGTTTGATGGTGGTTTTGTTTTGCGCACGGTGGCCGAGTGAACAAGCTCATTTGAAAGGACTGTCGCATCATGAATTGCCCCACATTGTCCTCTGGGAGTAATTAAAGGAGTCTGGTATTAGCACGTACCCATGCGTGACCACCGTGACACATCTCCCGTGCAGCATCTGCAGCTAAAGGTTTGCAGTTGTTAAATCTGTTTGCTTTGTTGTCTAGCTACAGGGTTGATAGTCTAGCCGAAGCTCCATTTTCTGCCTCTTAGGTTTTGTCTCTGGACCCTGCACTACATCAGGGCTTCACTCAGGCGAGGCTCAGCCTTTATGGTGCGGTTCAAATTTCCCAGATGTCCCTGGGAGTGTGTTACTCGGTGGGTGCGGGACTTGTGCCCATATCCGAAAGGTTTAATCCTGTGACTGGCAGAATAATTATATCACTGCTGCACCCCAGTTCAAAACCCTTAATTCTGAAAACTGCCACAGGGTTGCTGGCTGTCCATGTGCTCTAACCCTAAAGCTGCATCTTTCTTGGAGAAAGACTGTGTTTGTGAACCCCAAAGAATTCCACTGTACACCAGTACAAATAGCAAGTCCGGTATCTTATAAACGTGGTGCCAGATCATTCTGTCTTCTGCAAACTCAGTATGGATTCCTAGGCGTTGCGTGCCCCCATATCTGATTCCGAGTCAGCCGCCTCAGCGTGGGTGATTACCTACACAGGGAGTGATGGATCCTGGGGTTTGCTGGCCACAGCGGTGTGGGGGTGGGTGGCTGACTCTCAGCAATGTGGGAGGACGGTGAGTGGTGTATAAACCGCTTCATTCCAGCTCGTTCGCTCGGTGCCTCGGGGACACTGGCTTTCTGCATTACTGTGACTCATACCCTGAGCCTCCTCTCTCCAGGGTTTCCATCACTGCGTGCACAAGGCTAGAGGAATGGCAGCCATCCCATCCAGTGGCTCCCTCGTGGCCGCCCATGACTACTATCGCAGTGAGTCCTCAGCTCACATTCGCATGTTAAGGCATTTAGATCAAGGCTCAGTAGGAGACCTGGTGTGGTCATGCTCCACTACATTGTCTGGTCTTTACAAATACAGTAACAACACTTAGTATGCAGCATGTTTACAGTACTCACCACCCCTCAAAGGCATCTTGTTACAATAAGGGCATCCATTTGCTCTTGCTGTATTTGTGCTCATGTACATTATAAAGACTATGTCCAGAACTGCAGGTGCTGTCAGCAGCCCTCGTGTTTAGCTGCTGGCCTCCGGGCAGAAGGACAGTAATGCTGAAGTTGAATTAGTGACTAAAGGCTACAGATTGAGATGTTGATGAGCTGCGGCAGTTGCTCCGCTGGACAGATTCCATTTTTTGGGTCAGAGCCCGGCTGGGAGCAGCCCTGTGATGCTGTGCTGCTTTTGCAGGGCGCATTGGTTCCACCTCCAGCAGCAGCTCCTGTGGTAGCTTGGAGTCCTCTGGGGAGCTCATCCCACACCACCCAGGTACCGTGCCACGGGGGGGGGACCTGGAGGTGACTTGGTACCTCTGGGAGCAGACATGTTTACCTTTGTTTTTACCTTTTCCTTGTCGTCCTCAAAGCTTCAGAGGAGCCCATGATTTCCTGTCCTTGACCTAAATGAACTGTGTCTGTCCCCTCAGGTCTTCCCCGGCAGGATTCTGGCCACTGGTGGTCCACTTTCTTTTTTGGGAAGCATAATCAGCCTGGTATGATCACCCATGCTGAGTCCCAGCAAAAGTAAGTTCATGCGTGTCTGTTGTTGACTTGGCCTAATGGCGAATGCTTGGTCCTGAGAGGTTTCAGTGCCTGACTGCATTTATTTCCAGAATTTCTTTCTTGGGATCAAAATCCATCCACCGTTTACTGCAACCAGCTTGTTCGGTTTCATTAGTCCCCGTTCTTGCCGCTCTCTCCCACAGGGTGGGCGTGACCAGTGGGGCCAATGGGCAGGTGACCTGTGTTGCCAGGGAGATGGTGATGAAGAGGCAGCTGAGTGAGGGCAGCGAGGCGGGCGGCGCAGACGCAGGGGGGGCCCCCCCGCCCTCGTGAGCCGCGGTGCTGCGGGCTGCTGCTAGGCGACGGCGGCGCCCCTCCTCCTTTTTTAAAGTTTTCTTTTTGGTAGCAGGGGGCTGCTTTTTGTTCGACTGTTTTGGCTTTTTGTTTAATCGGCTGTCTGAGCAACATTACATGTAATAGTGCAACAGGGGATGTGCTTGTGTGACCCATCCCATTTCTCACTTGAAATAAAGTAACATTGCAGCCCGCCTGATTGAGTCCCTGTGCCTGCATTGGTTCCTAATCTAATTTCCAGGTACTCTAAAGATGACATGTCTTTAATTTAGATCCAATGATCCATATGGTGCATTTAATGGGAAGTTTCCACAATTCTCATGGAACATTTTCTGAAAATCTTTGCTGTTAATCACTATGGGTTCAGACTGATGCAGCTTATGTAATGCTTTAGAATACAGGGCAGCTGAATCATCATGTTGGCTTGAGCACTTAAACGGGTATAAATAGCTGCTGCATGCTATCCTGCACAGGCCCACATCCCCTGCTAATGCAGCTCGCTAGATGAATAAAAGCACACCGTCGGCAACTTTCTCTTCCTGAAAGGAAAGTGTGTGACTTCCCTGGTATCAGTGCAGGGAATGTTTGTATTTTGAGCTTGACACTGAATTCTGTGCACCGTGGCCCAAAGCTAACATCTGTCTGACAGGTGAAAGTTTTTTCAGCCTCGGTGTATTGATAAGGTGAGCACCTTTCATGTGAATCTTCTCTTCTGCTTCTGTGCGCGTACCAGGCCCCCAAAATGCCCCATGGAGCATCACTCTTACAGGCAGCTCTGTCCTCTGTTGAACCATTATTGAAATGGCACAAAGGCAAAGTGAGCCCTGCCAGTCCTGACTGACCAGTGTGAGCCGGTTTGGGACAATGAGCCTGTAGCTGAGCCCACTGCTGAAACAATGCCAGGCTTTGTGCTCCTCTCAATGTAGCCACTGTGCCGAACGCTTTCAGTGCTGCTTGCCAATAAGCAGCCTGACGAGTCCATTTGGGCCGTCAAGGAAGTCATTCGATGCCGCCATCCGCCGCTGTTCAGCTGTTCTGGATGAATTATCTTACTGAAAAAGGTATGTTTATGGGGTGGTTACCAATCAGCAGGATGGTTCTTTACCATGTCCTCTTTTTAGAAATACATCATCTGGCTGGTTGTCTTCATTCTGCTCTGTCTCGTTGATGAGGGGTTGGCAGTAACAGGGTGCATAGTGACCTTAGAGAACAGGCCTACTTGTCAGAATGATTCTTAGTGGCACATGGCCAACTCTGTCACATTTTACTCTACTAAAATGAGCATTTTGTCACTGAGACGTAGCACGTCACACTAATTAAAATATCCAGACAAATGGTAAATCAAACTGTAACAGCACTTTACTGCAAAGTGACCGTCAAGCAACACCTTGCTCACTCTCTTAGCACCTTTGAACATCTGATGAGTACCAGGTATGTTTGTGTTCTGTTACAGACGAGTACTTCCTGAGGGGAGCCATTATTTGGTGAGTGAGTCACCCACCAAGCAAGGCTCTCAGATTGAGGGCGATGTGGGAGCAAGTAGCTGCCCTATTTGCATAGGCTGAGGACTTCCTTCCTGGCACTGATACGGAGCGAGAGCCATTTTCTGGGGCCATGCTGGATATTCTCAGTGCAATGGCAAAGCTAACAGGCTCAATAATGATGATGATGATAATAATAATAATGAAAAGTGGGCTTTCTTGTCATACCTTGCAAGTACAAGTATACAGTGGCACTAAACAGTGTTTCCTGTAGGACCACAGTATGAAACGCAG